TTTATACAAGCTGTATTTTGGTCTAAAAAAAAATATGAAATTTCAAGCAGACTAAAAACAACCTATCTCACTGAAATTTTGATTCAAAAGAAAAATTGTGGAAGGAATGTTAGAAAGGCTGAGAAAAATACTAGGGGGACATTCTGAGCTTCCGATTGGTTATTCATGTCATATATAGAAGTAAGTATATACAAGGTTAGTGGGGTGCCACCGTATTTGATTTATTACGTGAGCAATATCTTATCATATGGAAAAGATGAGACCTTCTTATTTTATATTCTAGCTTGTCAATTTGAATTTCTTATTCGTATCAAACTACAGAGTTAGTATTTGGACTTCACAAACATCTAATTTGAACCAGTGCTGCATTCAACATATCTCATGACACACAAAAATCAATGTTTATCAGCATTTTTTAAATATTTACTTTTAAATTAACAAATTGAGTAATGTATAATACTAAAACTTGAATTATAATATACAGCTTGATACCAAACTTATTGACATAAATTCATAAAATAGTAGTTCAATAAAATTTTTAATGCGAGTCAACAAATGAAATGGCATGGCCTTTCACCTGTGACTCATCTTGAAAGGGTTAATAAAGACTTACCTAATGTTAAGCTAGAGATAAGCGAGCTTATAGATTTTGGTGTCTGTATTTCAAATTATTTTGTATTATTCTAGAAATTCTGTATTTAAAGATTTACCATTCAATAAAGATACTAATTTGACCACAAATGTTTTGCAAGTCTCTGCTAGTAAAGAATAATTGGAACAATGATAAATTTAAATTTACATGATGTTTATGATTTAAAATTTTTACCATCTACCAAATTATATAATTACAATAAAAACTTACTCTGCCAACAACAAGTAACAGTTCTTTTAAATGATATCATCAAGTATAAATGACATGGATAGATTGCAAAAACTTAAAATTGAATTATCTTTCAAATCAAATACTCACGATAAATTAACTCTCTCGTTTCGGGCTTGGTTAAATCATCCAAGTACATGACCCTGAAACTGACCTTTACAGTTTCTATACTATAACTTCTAATATGTTTTGTGCATCATCATGAAACTACACAAGCTTTCAGTAATCATTAAGTCACTTGTAGACAGAAAATAATTTTAAATGAAATATTTTCACTAAACATTTCTCCATGAATATTAAATTTTGTTCAACTGCCCTTTGAACCATATATAACTAATACTTGCACCATACAAGTTGTAAATCACTTGACAAATGTGTAGCTCACATTACCCTATTGAATTACATAAAGCACAGGCTACTTGCAAGTGTACCTCATGAAAAATTATTATTTATTTTACCTAATCTAACCTAAAGAGTTTCTAATATTTACATTTTAGTTAGTTTTATAATAATAAATAAAGTACATACCCGGGTCAGCTTTTTTCTTCTCTGTCAACTGTAGATGACACTTAACCCTCTTTTTCATACTAATAGTAGTTATGCACTAACTAATGTTTTTATTTATTTAACCCTTTCACCTCTTGCAACATTTTTAAATTCCTTTCTGCATATGGTACTGCAATACATTCAAAATTTAATTAAACCACTTTACTGTCAATATATGTCAATGAAATTAACATTATAATGTATGTTATATTTTGAACTTTTATGTTCAGTTTTAAATACTTTGTCAAAGGAAATGCTTAACTGCAGTTTTCATGTCACATGATCCATGCAAAATGAAAAATCTACACTTTAGCAAGAGTTGAGTGTAAATACATAAGCTTGCCATGTATATGAATGCCTAGACAATATGTTTACAACCAACAGAAAGAGCAGCTTTCACACTATTTATCTAACCAGAGGAAGAGACATTACCAGTGTATGGATTTATATGTATGCAATAGAAACAAAGCTAAGTCCATTTGTGTTTTGGAATGCATATTTGAAAAGGTTTAATGATTTTTATAAATTTAATTTGTTGATGCCTGAATTGTGAAAGCTTATACATACAATGCAAGTGTAAGTTTATTCAACGGGTCTGTGTGCAGAGTCTGCCAAAATTACTTCATAAAGACCCACAAGCATCAGTTGACACATTATCATAAATAGTAAAAGATGGAGAATTTGAAAGGAAAATTAAAAATAGACTAATAAGAGTAAACATACAGACGTGAAATTACGCATTCTTGTCAAATTTCAAACAACTTCACTCACTAATTTTATTTTTGGAATGAAATATACCACAGCAATGTCGTGTGTTACGATTCATAGCACATGACTAACAAATGGTTAAAATCTTTTGATATTTGTTTAGAAGGTTCTAGAGATTATGCAAATGAAATGTAAAAACAAGAAGATAATAAATACCATATTGGCCTGATTATAGGGCAATCTTGAATACAAGGCAACTCCCATTTTCAGAAACCATGGGAAAGAAAGTCTGCAAAATCAATACTATAACTGAACAGCCTGCAGGTGGATTAGTTGCAAGAATTAGCGATGCCCTTGAGCGAACATCTGGCACGCATGCATTGACAGATGCTATCTGGACATTCAGGAACGCGAGAGGCTAGAATAGGGGGAAGGAACCCGTGGTCGGCCACGATTATAAGAATTAACAATGCCTTTGAGCAAACATCTGAAATGCATGCGTAGACAGCTACTATCTGGACATTCAGGAATGTGAGAGGCTAGAGTAGACGAAAGGAGCTTGTGGTCGGCCACGATTATAAGGCAACTGTGAATTTTACAGCTTAATTATCAATAAAAAATATAGCCTTATAATTGGGCCAATATGGTAGTATTTTTATACTTCATATAAAAATCACCTTGCAGGTGAACTATTCAGAGTCCAAGTGCAAATAACTACATTAAATAATGTTAAATAACGAATTTTCTTATTAAAAACAGAAGAAAAATAAAAATAAAACATTTTATTTTTCAGAAACTATATACGTTTAGTAATGTTTTTGTTAAATATTAAACAATTTCACCCACCTGAGCAGCTTTAACTACTCTCTAATAGAGAATCTGCAGTTAAAGGTTTGAATAATCTAACTTGTATAAAAAGCAGTGTGTGTTATGTCACATCACACTTGATTTCTCAAAATAGGAGAAACCATAAAAGCCAAAATGCATTTATCCAGATAGAATAGTTTGATTACTGTCTGCCTATTACCATTTTAGTGACAAGAGTGCAAGGGAGCAAGGAGGGGTGGGTACCATGAAACCTTATAAGTGTAGTGAGTGTTGGCATAATAAGTCTAAAGTAAAGACATAGTGTGGAATCACCTAGCCTAGAACCAAGTGCATAAAAATTTATCATTATAGTGAAAATACTGATTCAAATTGTTTCTGAATTAAGCTTTTTTCTGTTATAAACCAATGTTTTTAATAAAAAAAACTTCTTTATTCAATGTAGACTAAATTAAGAAATAAAGGAATATTTTTCCAGTTTTTTTTGTCTATATATTTGATTTTATACTTACAGTACATATACTAACAATATTAGGTTATACTTTTGATGCTAACCAACATGACATAAAAGCCATTATTGGAATGAAGTGTTACCAAAATGCACTGGCTTTTCTATATATTAATTTATATTCTATAAATATGCCACGAATGCATTTCATGAATGATCTTAATTTTGACTGGCTCACAAAGGAACTCACCGAAGTTTGACTGTCTCAACTGCACTTTTCTGCCTCTTTGTTGGTCAAGCTTGATTTTGCAAAATTTAATTATTTTAGTTAGCTATGAAATGTGAGGTTAGGGTATACTATGAAGAGGGGCAGTAGTATTTGCCCCATCATTTTTGACATGCTGTACACTAGTGCACCACAGAACACAGAATAATAACATGTAAAAAGCAGACAATGTCCCATAACTACCAAAATGTTTTTGCAATTCTAACTGTGAAAATAGCTGTTAAAAATTACATAATGCATGGGCTACTCGCAAATATACCTTGTAAAAAATTATTATTATTATTTATTTTACCTGATCTAACCTAAAACATTTCTAATTTTGACATTTTAATTACTTTTTTATATAGTACTTACCTGGGTCTTCTTTTTTGCTGTCAACTGTTGATGACACTTAACCCTTCTTTTTAATACTATTTGTACTAATGCACCAAAGAACACATAATAATAATAATATGCAAAAAGAAGACAATGTCCCATAACTATAACAGTTTTTTTGGCTTTCTAACAATATACAAAAAGAGCTGTTAAAATTTGTCAATATGCTTCCTGTGAGAATAAAGTTTGAACTGGATATGGAATAGACAATTTTCTGTCATTTGACAGATTAAAACCTTGGATTTATGTTGGTTAGAATTAATATGGTATTAAATGTCATAGAAAACTATTGGCAATTTCTGAAAGAGAGTATATGATAGGTAGGTGTGGCAAGAGGAGTCTGATTTACTATTTTATTACTCTGTAACTAAATAAAATTGATGGCTATGAAAATTAGCTTCGTGCAAGTGGTGACAATATTATAATGAGTAATTTACATTAAATGTTATACTTCTTAGAGGGGTGGTAAATAAATTAGAGAAGAGGGGATGCCTAGAGAAAAATAATTTTCAGACTATGTGGAAATTCAAGATTTTTTAAAAAATGTTGCCTTATAAAATTAAGATCTTAAATCTTATATGCTATTAAAATGTGGATTATTAGCTACATTTTTATGCTATATTTATTCATATACCATGATAAAAGTAATCAATTAAATTTTGAATGTAAATCACTCAAAACTTGTGACATGCATAGAAAAAGATGCTTGTAGCAAAACTGTCAACACTGATTTAAACTCTAGATTTCTTGGGGAGGAAGTTACCATTACTCATTGTAAAAGAACCATTTCCACTGAGCACAAGTAATTGTAATTGACATATCTTGGAAATTTCTTATCATCAAATATTTGATTTTCATACAAATAAGTCTATTAATACACATATTTCAATAACTAAAAAATCCAAAAATAACCCTCTGTTTGGAATTCATATCTTATCTAACCTATAGGACATGAGCTAATTAAAAATTGTGTGTAAATAGTTAGGGAAAAAAAACAATATAAGAATATGAAATAAATGGCAAATAAAATCAAGCTCTTGTAGTGAGTTTAGTTTTGTACAATTTATAAACTATTTTCTCATGATCTTTCCATGTGAGTGTGTGTGTGGGAGATGGATTGTTAAAAGTAAAATTATAAATAAATTTGAAATACCAATGATCCTATAATCAATGTCAAGTTTTGAGGTATAATAGTCAAGGTTTATATACTTAGATTTCTTTTCAAGACTTTACAAAACTATTTCTGTAAACCTCTCCCAGTAAAACAAGTTTTTAACCCTATAGCCACCGTTATTCTTTACTGCGCATGACACAAAGTTTTAGTGTCTCAATCCAAAATTTGATTAAACTACTTTCTGTTTATGTTATACCAATTAGTATAGCATAAAATTTTAATAATAATCCATATTTTAATAGTATACAAGTTTTAAGTTCTTAATTCTATAAGCCAATATATAAAAAAAAATATTGAATTTCCATTAGTGTGACACACGAGACACATTTTCTCTAGGTATGTTCTATTCTCTATTATATCCACCATAGCTTCAAAAAGTACGAAATTAAACGTAAATTACTCCCTATAAAATTGTCATTGCTCAAACAAACCATAATTTTTATATCTTTCAATCCTCTCTTTCAAAATTTGTTTATAATTCT